CTACAGCCCTTTAAGAAGAATCTTGTCTGCCATCTGCTGGACACTTTTTGTTGTGCTCATATTTAGACGTCCTATTTTGCAAACGCTGCCTTCCTAAAATTTGGTATGCTTGTTTGTCTTTGTGTCTATGGTGTAATAATAATGATGTGATTGTGATGCTGTACTTCTGAGTGTTTTATGTGCTGCAGAACAGGAACCTGCTGTAAAACAGCAATTATGCTGAGTCAGGCTTGATTTTTAGTAATCTTTTCCTGTTAAATAAATAAATCAAATCAAATCAAATCAAATATAAAGATTCTACCTCCAGACTTCCCCAGTCCTCCTCATCATCCCAACGGTCTCCTACCGTCGCGTCATCGTTGTCTGTGACTTCAGGCGTCTCTGATTGGTTGGTAGTTTGGTGAGTTTTATCTTCTGAGCCTGAGAAAGAAATGATAAAAACTCAAGTTTAAAAATAACAGAACCAGAATATGAAACAAAAAAGGTAAGAATAACAAACTTAATTTCATTTTTATTTAACTAGAAAAGAAAGATTAACATCTCTTTTTCACTTTACAAGAAAAAAATAGATTAAAAATCAATTCAGAATCAACAAAAAACAAATGTCTCGACCTCTAACCAAACTATGACCCCAAAAATAACCATTTTATGATTATTTGCTTGCAGATGGCAGCTGCTTAGCCTGGTAAAAACCAGACCCTTGTCCTTCACTTTGCTTCATACTAGGGTCTGGACTCGCTATTGAGAAGCGATTTCTTGCTGGAGGCGTGGCCTCTGCTGAAGTGTGTGTGTCGTTGTGAAGGAGGCTAAGCTAAGGAGCTAACCGGAAATAACGAGCGCTGTAAACAACCCTACTGAGAGGAGAGACGTACTGAGCCGAACGAGACGACTGTAAATAATAACAATAATAATAATAATAATAATAATAATAATGCATTTTATTTATCAAGCGCCTTTCAGGACACCCAAGGATGCTGTACAATAAAAAAAGTAAAATGAAGGAAAAAACAAAGCAAAACTGTAGATACATATAGGTTAGTGTGGGAGAAACAGAAATGTGGGGTACAGAATAGTCGTATAAATGAGAGCTGCTGCTTTGTCAGACAAATTTAWTTTAATTTGGAAGCCTTATCAACACAGACTGGCTTCATTCACTTCCTCTACTGTCGTATGCTAAACGAACTAGCAGACACTGCACAAAAAATCGTCGTCATTTAAAACTCTGCCTTTTGTTTGCTGATTGGTCCAGGTAAAATAAACTACAAGCAGACACTGCGCAGAAAATTGACGTTCTCTTCTCTGATTGGACCGGCTAAAAATCTGCCAGCGAAATCCATCTCAATGGGAGAAGTCCCAGACGGAGCAGAGGAGCGAAACTAGAATTGAGCGGAGCTGCGTAGGAAGGCAAGGGCCAGGCTAGCAGCTGCTCAACTCCAGAAACAGTTTGTATCCTGCATTACTTTAATGTGCTGAGATAATTCATGAACAATAAAACTGCCTCCAATAAAGCAGAGCAATAAAATCTAAAAAGGTTTTGTATCACTAAACTGTCAACAATACTAAAGCTATCCTAGCAGAAAAACAGCAACAATAACGATCAGTCCATAAAAAAATAATAATAATTAAAAGATTTTCTTCTTGTGTTTACAGTTTGGGGCGTCATCTTTTCTGTTTCTGTAGTTATTGCAGCATTTGGGACTAATGTTTTATGTGTTTCTGTGTGGATAAAAACATCTTCATGTTCACAAGGAAATATCATTTTGGGAAGTTCATATAAAAATCCTGGAGACTCTTGTTTAATCAGTAAATATATTGTTTTTTTCTCCTCAGGCTTAAACAAGAGGTCAGATTTTAAAACTGTAGCCTGAACAAGCTTTTCCTAATAATAAAAACAGACAAATCTAACCCTCAGGGTGATTCTATTC